ATATATAAGACCTATATCAAAATCTGAACCGATTTCAACAAACCTTATCACGCATTATTTTTCTGTCAATAGCATACGCTATGCTAAATTTTACTAAATCAGACAAATATTGGGAGTTTGGTGCATTATTCACATAAAATCGGACGAAACTATATATGGGAGATATATCTAAATCAGAACCGATTTTAACAAAACCTCACAGACAGTCTGGACCCAATTCAGAACTCTATGCAAAATTTTGTCTCAATTGGACAAATATTGGGAGTTTGGTGCATTATTCACATAAAATTGGACGAAACCATATATGGGAACTATATCTAAATCAGAACCGATTTTAACAAAACTTCGCAGATATCAGTCTTATCATGATTCAGTACTCTATGCAAAATTTTGTCCTAATGAAACAAGTATTGGGAGTTTGGTGCATTATTTACCTAAAATCGGACGAAACTATATATGGGAGCTATATCTAAATCTGAACCGATTCTCTTCAATTTCAATAGGTTTCGTCTTGGGCCAAATTTCATCCAAATCGGATTATAAATGCGACCTGCACTTTGTTAACAAAAATACATGGGCGGATATGCGTAAATCGACTCAGAAAGTGATTCTATGCATATTGTTAAAAGGAACCATGGGTCTATCTCGATTCCTTTTTCCTGTTACAAACATATGCACAAAGACATAATACCCTGGACCACAGTGTGAAATCCAACCCTTGGTCTTCAAAAAATATTTTTGCAAATATCCACGACTTGTTGGCCTGCAACAAAAATTTATTTTTAAAAATTCACGCCTTATTGGTTTTCAACAAATGTTTATACCCTTCACCACACTGTGGTACATGGTATTATGTCTGTGTCCATATATTTGTAACAGGCAAAAGAAAACGAGATAGACATATGGTTCCTTTTGAGAATATGCATAGAATCACTTTCTGAATCGATTTATGCAAGTCCGTCCGTCTGTCTGCCCATGTTAAATTGTAAACAAAGTACAGGTTGCATTTATGATCCGATTTGGATGAAATTTGGCATAGGTCACTTATTTGGCCCAAGGACGAACCATATTGAAATTGGGAAAAATCGGTTCAGATTTAGATATGGCTCCCATATATATTTCCGTCCGATTTGATGTAAATGGTGCACCAAAGTCCCGATTTAATGTAAATGGTGCTCCAAAGTCTCTATATATCTTTCGATTTGCACGAAATTTGGCAAAGCGTAATAAATTAGTTCAAGAATGATGTGTGTTGTTTCCTTAAAATCGTATCAAATTTAGATATAGCTCCCATTTATATTTTCGTCCGATTTAATGTAAATGGTGCACCAAAGTCCCTATATATCTCTCGATTTGCACGAAATTTGGCACAGCGTAATGATTTAGATATAGAATGATGTGTGTTAAGTTTCCTGAAAATCGGTTCAGATTTTGATATAGCTCCCATATATATTTTCGTCCGATTTGATGTAAATGGTGCACCAAAGTCCCGATTTAATTTAAATGGTGCTCCAAAGTCTCTATATATCTTTCGATTTGGCACAGCGTAATGAATTAAGTATAGAATGATGTGTGTTAAGTTTCCTGAAAATCGGTTCAGATTATGATATAGCTCCCATATATATTTTCGTCCGATTTAAGGTAAATGGTGTATCAAAGTCCATTAATATCTTTCGGTTTTCACGAAATTTGGCACAGCGTAATGAATTAGGTCTAGAATGATGTGTGTTAAGTTTCCTGAAATCGGTTCAGATTTAGATATAGCTTGATTTATATATTCTGTTACCAAATAATCAAATGAAAAATTTTGTATCGGTTGCAGAATGACATGTTTATGGATCTAATTTCATTTTACTGGTCCTTTAGAAATGCGACGTTTGTAAGTATTCATCTGTTGAATATACCCAAAGTGGTTAAGGGTATCATATAGTCGGCCCCGTCCGACTTTACTAATTTCCTTACTGGTTTTTTTTATAAAATTGTATGCCTTTGTTGTTCTCCAAAAAAAATTTCAATATTTTCGTTTTAGTCAATTCCTAAAGAAAATATGTATATATATTATTTATCTCCCTTACAAATTTTATAATTTATTACATTTGAAAATTTGTATTTAGTGTGTTTTTTTATGTTTTCGCCCGATATTTAATCCACAACATTAACTAGATTTAATTATGAAATAAAACATATCCAATCATAATAAATATAAACATAATTTATTGGCGATTTTCGGCACGGTGTGGTAAAGTGCCGTGTTTCTTATCAGTTTTCATTGCATATTACTTAAGACATAAAACTAGGCATCTATCAAATTTTATTTATGGGGTTTTTGTTTAACGGCGACGAAGCCGCCGACGATGACGACGAAATTCGAGAAACAAAAATCGTATTTGCAATTTGCATAAATCTTATTAAACGAGGTAACGAAATGAACGAACGAAACGCTTATGGTTACCGATCGACAACCAAAAAAAAACTATTTTTTTCAAATGTGAATACACATGTGTTTAGGGAAAATCTTAGATTTTGGTAGGACAGTGGATGGTAGCGTTTTTAAAAATGACCATAAGAAGGCTCAAATGTTTCGAATACAAACTTCGACGACAGAGGGTCCTATAATGTGGGAAATATTGGAAAATAAAAAGATATTAAAAATGGAACTCATTATACCCTTAACCACACTGTGGTACAGGGTATTATGTCTTTGTGCATATGTTTGTAACAGGCAAAAATAATCGAGATAGACCCATGGTTCCTTTTGAGAATATGCATATAATCACTTTCTGAGTCGATTTATGCATGTCCGTCTGTCCGTTCGTCCGTCCACGTATTTTTGTGAACAAAGTACAGGTCGCACTTATTATCCGATTTGGATGAAATTTGGCACAGGTCACTTATTTGGCCCAAGGACGAACCTTATTGAAATTGGTAAAATGTGTTCAGATTTAGATATAGCTCCCAAATATATTTTCGTCCGATTTAATGTAAACGGTGCACCACAGTCCCTATATATCTTTCGATTTGTAATAAATTAGGTATAGAATAATGTGTGTTAAGTTTTCTGAAAATCGGTTCAGATTTAGATATAGCTCCCAAATATATTTTCGTCCGAGTGAATGTAAATGGTGCACCAAAATCCCCATATACCTTTCGATTTCGATGCACGAAATTTAGCTCAGCGTAATGAATAAGTCCTAGAATGATGTGTGTTAAGTTTCCTGAAAATCGGTTCAGATTTAGATTTAGCTTCCATATATATTTTCGTCCGATTTAATATGTAAATGGCGCACCAAAGTCCCTATATATTTTTCGATTTGCACGAAATTTGGCACAGCGTAATTAATTAGACCTAGAATGATGTGTGTTAAGTTTCCTGAAAATCGGTTCAGATTTAGATATAGCTCCCATATATATTTTCGTCCGATTTAAGGTAAATGTTGTACCAAAGTTCCCTAATATCTTTCGGTTTGCACGAAAATTGGCGAAAATTGAATTGCAGAATGACATGTTTATTGATCCAATTTCATTTTTTTTACATTTAAAAATGCGACGTGTGGTAGGATTCATCTGTTGAATATACCCAAAGTGGTGAAGGGTATCATATAGTCGCCTCCGTCCGACTTTACTACTTTCCGTATTGGTTTTTTATTTATGAATGTAATCGACCCTCCCTTATATATTTTTTCGAAGTATTTCCATCCACTAAAACCAAAACTCTTAATCTAACGCCTTAAATTTGTTAGAAAACGACTTTAAGTTTTTTTTCAAAATTAAATGAAGTGCGTCTAAGGCCGTTTTTAACAAAAAAAAAAATGAAAATCTATCGCTTTGCCAACCGCGCTCTACACGGTGGCATGTAACCATAATAAACAGATAACAGCAACCTATGCAACACCTAGGCCAGTACTTTTAACACATTTTTTTTTTTGCGAATTTTGTTGTTGTTGATATTGCATTTTTTTTCGCAGCTCCAAAATTTATGAGTTTTTATGCTGATTTGTTTAGTTTGTAGCGAAAAAATTAAATTTCAGTAGTTTTATGGGCCAATGTACTACTACGTACTCGGTGGTTGTTGTTGCTGTTGATGTTGTAAAGCTTACATTTTGTTGGCTATTTACAGCAAAACAAATTATTTGATATTATGATTTAAACACAACTTTTTTTCTGTGCTTATGTTTAAATACACAATTTTATGTGGGGTAATAAAAATTTGTTGTTGTTCTTGTTATTTTCGATTTTCGTTTGCGAAAATTATTTCATGTAGGCTATTCACATTATCTAAATATTTTTTTTTTTTTTTTTTGGTTTTTTAAAATTCATTGGTTTTTGTGGTTTTTTGTTCATTCGGAGTTTGGGTTCGTGTGAAAATGTAATGGCTATTTTTTGATTGCAAGGTATCAGAATTAAGTGCACATGAATTCTGAAAATATCTAAATTGCAAAAAAAAAATAACACAAATATTTTGGCCCAAAGGCTTGGTGGTGGTGGTAAATAATAATTTTAAATGTATATTTTAAGATTTCGATTATAATGCAACAATATTTGGCAACATGAACAACAACAACAAATTAATCACATGTGGTCGAATGGGTCACAGAAAAAGGAGACCAAATGCTCAGATATCGGTTATAAGACAGTATGAAATGTCAACTCCACATTTCCTAAATTGTATATTAATTCGAATATCGCAACGAATTTTTGTCATTCCATTCACAAAACCTTTAAATTCGTTTTTCTAATGCGGATTGGCATTAAAAACGGTTTTTTTTATAAAGGTGCTACCCCATTTTCAAATTCTGGATTTTCCAATTTTTAAATCGCTCTCAAATAAAGGAACATTTATATTTTACGTATTTTTTAGGTCCAAAATTACCCGAACCTTGTTAGACCAATGAATATCAATTTTGTATAATTAAATTCTGAATGTAATATTATCAAAATTATTGTACAAAAAATTAACCGAAACTGAAATTAATTAATAGTTATTTCTTCTTTAATTTCAGAATGGCTTTGTAAAATGTGAAGATAAATGCCCTCCCATCGATGATTGTTATCTGTTGGAAAAGAAGACCTCGGATGCTTGCTGCAATAAATGTAAAGGTAATTACAAAACTAGTAAAAAAAGCATGAAGCTATATTAAAAATTTTCTGAGATGGTTTTCATAATCCAAGAACCCAAATTACAACCACTTCGGTGGAAATAGTCGCATATTTCCTTCAAAATACCTTTAAAAGTGGGCGCAACCTTTAAAAATTCTAAATTATAGCCCCTTCCATAGAAAATACAATCTTCACAATAACAAAATAGGGCCTGAGGTGTTTTTCACCCTCCATGAACAAGGAATGCCAAAAAAATACAAAAAAAAAAAAAACAGTGGAAAGTAGCAAAGTCGGACTGGGCCGATTATATGATACCCTTCACCACTATATGTGTATTATATATATGTATCCTAACAATTTCATGTCATGTCAGCATTTGCTAAATTAAATTTCAATCAGATTTATACCAAACATGATACACGCGAATCAGTATGCCGCATTGTTAAAAATATAATCTCAATCAGACACCCGTTCGAAATATTTATGGTACGTTGTGCAACATTTCGTGTTAATCGGACAAACATTAGGAGTTTGGGGTACCATTTACCTAAAATCGGACTAGACTCCAAATACGGTGGAAATCGGAACATATATAGGGATTCTGGTGCAACATTTACAATAAATCGGATGGAAATATATGAGCTTTATTAAAATCTGAACCGATTTTAATTTAGTACGTCATGCCAAATTTCGTGAAATCGAAAGATATTTCGTGAAATCGAAAGATAAACACACATCATTCTAGAATTAACTTTGTACGCCATGCCAATTTCGTGAAAATCGAAGAATATATAGGGACTTTGGTGCACCATTTACATAAAATCGGACGAACATTTTTTGGGAGCTATATCTAAATCTGAACCGTTTTGCACGAAACTTAACATATGTAATTCTAGACACAATTCAGTGCGCTACACCAAATTTCGTGCAAATCGAAAGATATACAGGGACTTTGATGTACCATTTATCCGATTTTCACGAAACTTAGCACACATCATTCTCGACCTACTTTAGTACCTATGCCAAATGTCGTGCAAATCGAAGGATATATAGGGACTTTGGTACACCATTTACATAAAATCTGTCGAAAATATATATCAGAGCTATATCGAAATCTTAACCGATTTTTCCGAAACTCACCGTTCATCATTCTAGACTCAATTCTGTACGCTATGCCAAATTTCGTGCAAATCCAAGAATATAAAGGGACTTTGGAGCACTAATTACCTAAAATCGGACGAAAATATATATGAGAGCTATATCGAAATCTGAACCGATTTTCACGAAATTTCACACACATCGCTCTAGACTCAATTCAGTACGTTATGCCAAATTTCGTGCAAATAGAAAGACATATAGAGACTTTTGTGCACTTATTATCTAAAATCGGACGAAAATATATATGAGAGCTATATCGAAATCTGAACCGATTTTCACGAAACTTAACACACATCATTCTAGATCTAATTCAATACGCTGCTCTAAATTTCATGCAAATCGAAAGATATATCGGGACTTTAGTACACCATTCGCCTTAAATCGGACGAAAATATATATGCGAGTTATATCTAAATCTGAAACGATTATTACGAAACTTGACACACATCATTCTAGAATTAATTCAGTACGCTATGCCAAACTTCGTGCAAATAAAAATACATATAGGAAGCTATATCTAAATCTGAACCGATTTTCACAAAACTTAACTTTAGACCTAATTCAATACGCTTCTCGAAATTTCATGCAAATCGAAAGATATATCGGGACTTTGGTACACCATTTACCTTAAATCGGACGGAAATATATATGCGAGTTGCATTTAAATCTGAACCGATTTTTACGAAACTTGACACAAATCATTCTAGACGTAATTAATTACTCTGAGCGGAATTTCGCGCAAATCGAAAGATATATAGAGATTTTGGTGTCCCATTTATCTTAAATCGGTCGAAAATATATATGGGGGCTATATCTAAATTTGAACCGATTTTTACGAAACTTAACACACATCATTCTAGACTTAATTCAGAACACCATGCCAAATTTCGTGCCAATCGAAAGATATATAGGGACATTGGTATACCATTTACATAAAATCGGACGAAACAATATACGGGAGCTATATCTAAATCTGAACCGATTTTCAACAATTTCAAAAGGGTTTGTACATGGGGCAAATAAATGAGCTACGCCAAATTTAATCAATTCGTATCATAAATGCGATCTATACTTTGTTTACAATTTAACATGGACAGACAGAGGGACTGACATGCATAAATCGACTCAGAAAGTGGTTCTATGCATAATCTATCTCGTATTATCCTCGGTATTCTCAATACCTTAAGTAGAAATTTGATATCCTAATTCACTGAGGGCATATTTTTATACCCTCAGCCTTACGGCTAATGAGGGTATATACATTTGATACAGTGAAAATGTGCGTTATCGAAATATTGGTTTTAAACCCCATGTTGTATTTGGACCAAATCCGTTTCAGAAATGTCCATCCGTCCGTTACGAATGCCCGTCCGTCCTTCCGTTGTCCGTCTATCTATCTTTCCAACTGGCTGGTGCACACGATACCTTTCGATGGAAATAATCGATTTCATTCAAACTTTGCACATCTTATTATTTCTTCCAAACTTAGTTCAAGTTCCAAGATGGGGAATATCGGTCCACTCCTCCCACAAAAAGGTAAAAATTGCGCTATAAAATTATTTTATAATACCAAGCGAACGGACGATCCTATTTGAACCAAACTTTGTACAACATATTCACTTAACCAAGCATACATCAAGTATGAAGATGGGACCTATTGGTCCACTCTTTCTTGTACCTCCCCACAAAATGGTCAACATTTTCAATATTTATAAATCCAATATCAGGCAAATGGAATGTCCGATTTGAACCAAACATTGCACAACCTATTATCTTTACCAAGTCTAAATCAATTTCGAAGATGGAATCTATTGGTCCACTCCTTCTGGTACCTTCCCACAAAGGGTCAACATTTTCAATATTTATATATCCAATATCAGGCAAATGGAATGTCCGATTTGAACCAAACTTTGTACAACCTATTATCTTTACGAGGTCAATGTAAAATTTCGTAAAGTTCGGGTCATAATTGTGGCTGTAGAGCGACCAGAAAAACAGCCAAAAATAAAGTTGTGAGTCCATTTTATCCCCTTTGAGAAACTAGAAAACCAAGAGGACGACTCCACCACATCCGAAGTACTGATATTTTTGGCAAACATTGCATTTCAATTTTTCTTATCAAACGTCCTAAATGATTTCAGGTATTTTTAATACCCACCTCTTGGTATACAAAATTAGAAAAGGCCGGACTTAACGTCGTTTTTTTTTAATTATAAATATATGTCATTCGCCCTGAGGATTTTTTATGAACAACTTCTGTTTTTTTTTTTTTAATCTTTAGGACAAAAATCATTTTTCTTTTCTATGAAATAAAAATCATCCGTCAGTAGTAATGTGTCCTTGCTAATTGATTTTTTTAATATGTCTTCAAGGAACTTTTCCTCATATCTAATGATTTTTTTCGCCTTTTATTTAGTTCTCTTTTTATATTTCCAATATTGTTAAGATACACTCTCTGCATTTGCTTTTCATTTTTCTATTTTATCGCATTGTAGGTTGCATGTTCCTTGGTAAACAATATGCGAGTGGTGCTGAATGGACTGATCCCCTGAATCCTTGTAAATCATACAAATGTGTTGGCGGTGTTGTGACAGCAACAGAAATGAAATGCTATACACAGTGTGATGGTAGTCAATTGATGAAACCAAGACCGGGCGAGTGTTGTCCATCCTGTCAAGGTGAGTATATAACAAAATCGAGCACTTATACTCTTATACAATAGGAAAAAATTGTTTGAATGAAACATAGAAAAAAATTGAAATAAAACCAGGCTCTTATTTATGTTTCATTTTATAAATTTTATTATTTATTTATATCAAAAAAAAAAATACAAGTTGTTTGATAAAGAAACATCATGTTCTGTTACGGGTTTTCGATAAACATAAATACACAATATAAACAAATGTTCAAACATTTAACTCCTTCCTTAGCCGCCATGAATGACCGACAAAAATTCTTTGTGTGGTCTTGAATGACATTGTCTGATATTTTTTTGCTGATTTCGTTTATTCAGCAAACAAAAACTACTGAAAAAACATTAAATGAAACAAGGAGAACATTGAAAACGTGATTTCACAATTTGAAATAAATGCTTGGTATTCAGATGTTGCACTACCGTAAATAAAGTGGATATTTTCGATTCAATAGACAGAATGAAAAAAAGACATTCTGAATCCGTATCTGAGAATTTTTTTAAGAAATCTGAAAAACCAGTAAGGGAAGTAGTAAAGTCGGATGGGGCCGACTGTATGATACCCTTCACCACTGTGGGTACATTCAACAGAGGAATCCTAAGAGACGTCGCATTTTTAAAGGACCAGTAGAATGAAATTGGATCCATAAACATGTCATTCTACAACCGATAATAAATTTTTCATTTGGTCAGATATAGAAGCTATATCTTAATCTAAATCGATTTTCAGGAAACTTAACACACTCATTCTAGGCCTAATTCATTGCGCTGTGCCAAATATCGAAAATCGAAAGATATATAGGACTTTGGTGCACCATTTACATTTAATAGGACGAAAATATACATGGGAGCTATATATAAATCTGAACCGATTTTGAGGAAACTTAACACCTCATCATTCTACACCTAGTTCATTATGCTGTGCCAAATTTCGTACAAATCCAAAGATATATAGGGACTTTGGTGCACCATTTACATTAAATCGGACGAAAATATATTTGGGAGCTATATCTAAATCTTAACCGATTTTAACGAAACTTAGCACACGTCTTTCTAGACTTAATTCAGTACGCTATGCAAAAATTCATGCAAATCAATAGATTTTCAGGGACTTTGGTGTACCATTTACCTAAAATCGGGCGAAACTATATATGTAGGAGCTATATCTAAATCTGAACCGATTTTCACAAAACTTAGCACACGTCTTTCTAAACTTAATTCAGTACGCTATTCCAAAATTCGTGCAAATATATAGATTTTCAGAGACTTTGGTGCACCATTTACCTAAAATCGGGCGAAACTATATATGGGAGCTATATCTAAATCTGAACCGATTTTCACGAAACTTGGTACACATCATTCTAGACTTAATTTAGTACGCTATGCCAAAATTCGTGAAAATCGAATAATATGCAGGGACTAAATTCCGTAAATCGGACAAAAATATATATGGGAGCTATATCTAAATCTGAACCGATTTTTCCCAATTTCAATAGGGTTCGTCCTTGGGCCAAATAAATGATCTGTACCAAATTTCAGCCAAATCGTATTATAAATGCGACCTGTACTTTGTTTACAATTTAACATCAATCGAAGGACGGACGGACATGCATAAATCGACTCAGAACGTGATTCTATGCATATTCTCAAAAGGAACCATAGGTCTATCTCGATTCCCTTTGCATGTTACAAACATATGCTCAAAGACATAATACCCTGCACCACAGTGCGGTGAAGGGTATAAAAACACCTCAGAAACTGAGGTCTGATTTTTTTCTATAGAAAAAATACCTCAGAAAATAGGATCCGATATTTTACTTTCGAAGTGCATTATGCAGTCGTATTGACCATGTACGTTTCTCTCCTGCCATTCATTGCCAACATCGTTCCGAAACATGCTACTTGTGTTGTTATTATCCCGCTTAAATACCCATAATTAACTCACAACAAAAATCAACATGTTTTAACATGTCCTCACTTGTGCAGACTTGTTGATGATTCCGCAATTCTTTGTTTATTTTGTTCTTCTTTTGTGTTCAGAAGTCATTCAGATGGGTAATTCCGTTGTTATTTATTTTATTGTTATTGTTGGCTCTCTCTCTTGTAGGTTGCAAAATAAATGGACAAATCGTTTTGGAAGGCCAAGAGGTTGTCGCCTCAATCGATGATCGTTGTTTGGTCTGTCAATGTAAGGATAATCAGCTAACCTGTGCCAAGAAGACATGTCCCGTGCTGCAGTGTCCGGTGTCGAAGCAGAAACAGCTACCGAATGAATGTTGTCCACGGTGTACGGAACATAGGGAATTTATGCCATTGACGGGTAAGTGTGGGAATTTTTGGGATTTATTTCAGGGATTAAGTTTTTTTTTAGTTTTGATTTTAATTTCCCTTTTTGTTTTTTCTTCCTTCCAGGCAAATGCATTTTTACGAAGAGAATATTCCACGATAAAATCCAATTTATGCCCGATCGTTGCACCAATTGCACTTGCAGCAATGGCACCAGTATTTGTGAACGCAAGACATGCCCCATTTTAGAATGCTCGCCGGAGTATCAAGAAATGGATGGTTGTTGTCCACGCTGTATTTCAGCCGAGGTCCGATCTGAGTGCATTGTCAATGGGGTGACTTATCAGAATAATGACACCTGGAATGTGGATACATGTCGATCATGTCGTTGCATGGGAGGAAATATACGATGTTCGGAAATGCGTTGCCCTGCCGTAAAGTGTCGTTCAAATGAGGAACTAAAAGTTCTGCCGGGAGAATGTTGCCCAAAATGTATTGAAACTGCTGGAACCTGTACCGTTTTTGGTGATCCTCACTTTAAAACTTTTGATGGGAAATTTTTCAGTTTCCAAGGTTCGTGTAAATATCTACTCGCCTCTGATTGTTATGATAAGACTTTTTCGATACGTCTAACTAATGATGGACGTCAAACCAAACGTTCATCATGGGCCAAAACTGTGACGTTGAAAATGCGTGGAATTCGTGTGAATTTGGGTCAAAAACAAAGGGTTAAAGTGAATGGTACCCGAGTTGCCCTACCATATTCCTCCGGTCCCATTACCAGCATAGAAAAACTAAGCGAAAGTATTATGTTGAAAACCGAATTGGGTCTTAGTATTGAGTGGGATGGCAACAATTATCTGCAAGTCACGGTACCATCCAGTTTTAAAAATCGCATGTGCGGCCTGTGTGGCAACTACAACGGTTGGACTCGCGATGATCTGACGAGTCGGGATGGTGTCAATCACACCGAAGCTTGGCGTTTTGCCAATTCCTGGAAGGTTGGAGGACCCAAGGCATGTTCGCGGAAACAGGAAAACATAGCTGTCGAACCCACTTGCAAACAACGCAAATCGAATGCCCTCTGTCGACCACTACTTGTCTCCGAAGTCTTCGGTGATTGTGATAGCACCGTGAATCCGGAAAATTATCACGACGCCTGTAAAATGGATGTTTGCGATTGTCCGACTGGCATGTGTCATTGTGACAGTTTTGCTGCCTATGCCCGGGAATGTCAACGTTTGGGTGTTCGTCTGCCTGATTGGCGTTCTGCCACCGCCTGCCCACATGGTCAATGGAAGCGAGATTTTAATACCACCCTTAAAATGTTACGAGCAAATCCCTATTATGGAGATTTACGATTTTTACAAAATCTACCGAAGCCAAAAAATCGCAAACACAAGCTGGAGGAGCAACAACATCAACATAATCAGCTGTTGCAGCGAGATTTCATCAACAAGCATGTACCGAAAAATTTGCTAATTTCTAAATCGCCCGATCGTACACCACCACCTTTACATTAGACGAGGTCGGCGCTGCGCATGTATAATTTTTGAGTGTTTGAAGAGGCGTAAGAAAAAAAAAAACAAAAAATATTAATTTTATGTATCGGTTTTGTAAACTATTTTCATTTTTATTTTTTTCGAATAGCTATAAATTCATTTGTTCACATTTTTGGCATTTTCTTAAAATTTGTAAGTGGTTCTCTTTAGGAAAAAAAATATTTCTTTCAAAAAAAAATCTTCCCATACTATGGTCAAGTTTTGAAAACTAAAACTACAGGGGTCTTTTTTATAAAAAAAATATTTTGACTCTAACATTTTTTATATAAAAAAATTATTTTTTCTATAGGAAAAAATTGGGAATTTAAATGGTCTTTCATTCGAAAAAAAATCTTCAGATACTAAGATAGGATTTTTTTATATAAAAATGTTTTTGATTGTGCTATTTTTACATAAGAAGCTTAATTTTTCTATAGCCAAAATGGGAAATTTGAAAATTAGTTCCATAAAAAATCGGTCCCTTGCCTCTGGATTTGTTTTTATATAGAAACATGTTTTCTATACTACATTATACTTTATGGCTCCAGAAATACCAGAAACTTCTACATCAAATCAGGTTTTCTTCAATATATAATTTGAACAGTATATTCAGGTGTTTTATATATAAAAAGATAGAAGAAGGAGTTGATTTCATGGAAAAACTGTTTTAAATTTTGCATGACAAATTTTAAATTGCTGTTAATTGTCATCCATTACGGATGGGTGTTGTCATGACGTATACGCCACCTATAATCTTCAAAGATTTTAAATTTCTGCAAAAAATTAAAAAAAGAGTGGTCGTGTAAAATGCAAATCTAAAGCTCGAATTGGGTGGAAAATCTTCCTAAAAGTGTTCAACTCATGATGATGGAGGTTAAAAAAAATTCGACCTGGCCTAAAAAAGTAGGTTTGCATGAAGAATTTAATTTTCTACTTTGACGTATGAGTGTTGCCACGATGTATACGCCACCTACAATCGAAGAGATTGCATTTTTTTGATTTCCATGGTTTCTTAAAAACAAATAAAATATTTGGCCTTCTATAAAATAATTTACTTTTGATTTTTTTATGACTTTTTCTATTGAGAAAAATTGCCCAGAATCTGTAGTCTTAACATTTTTGTATAAAAATGCCTTAGATATTATGGGCAGATTTGGTATATAGATTTTCTCTATAGAAAATAAATTTTATGAATTTGGGGTTTGATTTTATCTAAAGAAAAAAATTCGCGAGTCACTGAGGTCTGTGAAGAAAACTTCAAACACGGGAGCCTGACAAAACTTTTCCAGTCTGATTTTTTTTAGGGAACAACACTTCCTATCTTCCTCAAGGCGGTTTGTTTCCTATAAAAACACTTTTTGAGAAATATTTTAAAACCCGCTTGAAGATATTGCCAGAACCCCTTCTGCATATACACACCTGATAAAATATCTTTAATCGATCTTCAGTTGGTCGAAAACGTTCCACAGATCTGAGGTGTGGTATTATTTTCCCCAGGCACTGGGTTCTTGCAAAAATGCACCTGTAGTTGATTTTGTTTAAGAGAAAAACAATTCATCATCCCTGAAATCTGGGACTTTCAGTCTTTCAGAATTGATTATTTTTCCTATAGAAAAGCAATCCTCATCTCTGACGACGGACGACTGATTGTTTTTTTTTAGAATGAAATTCCTAAGTCATCCAGAAGAGATTATTCTCTATAAGAGGAATATTTCTTCTGAGAGAAAGAGGGACTTATTCGTTCTTTACCCATTTTATTCCCCGTCTGAGAACCATTTTAAATATCGCCTAGAATTTTTATATATTTGAATTGAATTTTTATTTATTGAGGGCGATAATCATTTGAATGAATCATCTAGAATTTAATATGCCAAAAATTAACAAATGAATGTGTTTATGGAAAGCATATTGCTTTTGTTGTAAATTATTAATATTATTTTTATAATTTAATTATTAAGTTCGAATTTTATTAATTTTTTATATTTTGTTTATTATTGAAATTAGTAAAACACAATATTTTTATGTTTTGTATATGACTGTTAATGTTTTTTGTTTCTAGATTGAAATTTCATTTCACAGCTGGCTGGCCTAGTTTTGAAAATGGAATATTCAAAAATTTAAATTTTCGAATTTTATGTATTTAATCATTACACCTTAATGACTGAAATCTATATAGTGGAATCCCAATGAAATTTAGTAACAAGATCGCGCAAAATTTCTATACCCTTCTCTACTCGGCGGTGCAGGGCAGAGACGTACGCAGGGTTGGGGGGCTCGGACATCCATCCATCCTTACAGCATACCGTTATGCGACAAGAATGATGTGTTGACTTTATTGGAAATCGGTTTAGATTTCGATAAAATGGTACACAAAACTTCCAATGTTTGTTCGATTGAAATTATATTTTACATGACGTATTAGATTGAGATTAGAATAATGTGTGTAATTTTTTTTTTTTTTTTTTGAAATCCTTTAAGATTTCGATATATCTTCCATACTTATATTCGTCCGATTATAGGAAAATGGTGTACCAAACATTCAAAGTTTAACCGATTGACACAAAATTTTGCATAGACTACCGAATTGTGTCTAGAATGACATGGCGTTTAGTTTTGTTGAAATTGGCTCAGATTTCGATATAGCTCCCATAAATATTTGCATATAGCTCCTATACATAATTTTGCTTGATTTTATATAAGTGATACGGCAAAGACCCAAAATCTGCTCGATTGATGAGCATAGATTTCAGAATAACATGTGTATGGGTTCATGTAATTTGGTTCATATATGAAAGTAGATCACATATTTAATTTCATCAGATCCCACGCCAATGGTGCTCGAAATAAGCTACGTATTTTTCTGTTGACAGGATTTTATATATACAAAATTTCCTTCTATTTTGTACCCCAAAATGGTAATGAATATCATATAGTCGGCCGCGTTGTAAAGTTATAACAAATTTTAAATTCATGTCAAAAATTTCGAAGACATTTCCTTTAATCCTCCCACATCACTTTTTGGATCCAATAATTATACACACCCCAGAGTATAACCAAGTGTTTATACTCCATAAAACAAATTTGTCTGTGGATTTTTTATATAGAAAACATAACGAGAGCTTCAGACATAGGAGCAGGTACTTCAAAATAAAAATCTTCTTAATTTATAGTCTGAATTTTTTCTATAAGGAAAGAAAATTATTAAAATATATAGCCTAATTTTTTGGGGTCCGATTGTCCTTATTAAAAACTCAGGCATTGATGCTTGACAAAAAATCCACCAAAATTCAATTTCTAATGACTGATATTTTTTCCAGAAGAAAAACCATTCCTCAGTCCCTGAAGACTATTTATACTCTACACAACTATGTTGTCAGTGTATTATAGCTTTGTGCAGCGCCAAAAGTTTGTAACGCCGCGAAATATTGGTCCTAGAACCACCTTTAAGTATACCGATCGGCATATCTCGACTAGCTGAGTCGATCTAGACATGTGTGTCCGTCCGTCCGTCTGTCCATTATAATTTGTAAACACGATACAGGCCACAGTTATGGACCAATCAACACGAAGTTTTGCATTTAGGATGGGTTCTGCCCAATGAAGACACCTATTGTTTTCGGGAAAGATCGGTTAATATTTAGGGGATTAAATGGACCAAATACTACATTTTTGTCGGTTTTTCTGGTCTCTCCAGAGGCCGCAATAATGGCCCGAACATCGTGAAATTTTCCGTGGAGGAGGGGATCAGGACAAAGAATAAGCATGCCTGTTTTCATAAAGATCGGTCAATATTTAGCGGATCAAAAGGACCCTGACTCTTGTGTGCAAAATGACAAAATTTGTATTCTATAGCGTATATATTTACCCTTGAGGGACATAGACCCGAGAAGTTTTTATTATATCCAAGAGGAGTAGTTGACCTTTAAATTAATACCAATTATATTGTTGTATGTGCTCGGATGTGGGAGTTACATCTAAATATTTACAGGTATCTTCGTATTCGTATATTATTTAGTAACCCATTATCACTCTAGAGAGCGGGACTATAGCGCTGATCGCTTTGAAATGTTCCATGAGGTTCCAGTTATGGTCAAGAACAACGCCTATAATTTTCGGTGATGATCAGATAATAATTTTGGAATGTAGTGGACCGAAAACTTAATTTTTTTGTGTTATTTTCGAGTCGATCTATAGATCACAAATGAAAGCCGAACATCACAACACAACCCACGGTGAAGGGAATCTGGACAATGGCTGTACTGAATACTCGTAATATTCGGAAAATATGTCATCGGGCAAGAGGGTGCAAATATCACGAAATATTGCCCAGGCTCGGAATATACATCCGCAGAAAATTTGAGTTCCGTGGTAGTTGTGTAGGGTATCGTATGGTCGGCCCCGTCCGACTATGCTGCTCCGCTCACTGGTTTTTCGCATAAAAAAAAAGTTTGAAGGTATTTAAGGCATTTGCTGTAGCTCACATTCAAATATTAAGAAAATCACCACGCCATAGTGGGGGGCAGTGGTTATTCTGAGTCTACAAATATGGTGATTGGGAATTTTCATACATACAGTTGTCCTCGAAACCGTATCTTTGTCTCCGACCTGTTGCATGGAAATCCATAAAAAAATTTGAAACAGCTTACTTCCGAATATTAATAAACATCGCCATAGTGAGGGAAAGAGGTCATTCTTGGTCCGCCTTCATAGAAATCTCAGAAACGACTTTGAACATGGGGCTTTGTTAAAAGGGGGAGTCCAAATTAAAAATTCCATATTAGAGCACCCTTTGTGGCAGAATCTGGTTGTAGGCAATCAAAACATTTTCCCATAGTAAAAAATCAGTTTTAATTGTTTAAAGACAAAATTTCATTGTAATATGGATATTCTTTATTATAAATGTAAAACAATAATTTTAAAATAAATATAACAGTCATATACAACTCAATATTATTATTATTATTAGGCAAAACATGAAATAT